CAAACGCGCACCTACTTAAAACTACCAATATCCAAAGAAACCATCTCAAAAGGCAGCAGTCAAGTTTAAATTCTAACGGGGTCACAGGCGACCCATCTTGTCCTCGGGCTGATGTTGCAACAACTTGAAACAATATGTCTAAATTATTGAGAATATGTTCTTTGATTCAGTGCTGATGCACAAACCTTTTCTGCAATATATTAACTGATCATATTCTACTTCTGTAGCTATACCTTCTCTGCGAGCCCGTGACTGCTCAAACAAGGAGAAAGAGGCTCTCAACTATTTGTTTATCCTGGTCCCTTTGATCAACGTTATCATCCCGTTCTTCGTGAAATCGTTTGCAGTTGTCTGGTCAGCAGATACGGTCGCCTTTTTCGTGATGTATGCATGGAAGGTACATGTTTAATGTTGTTTTCGCCTTCAGGATTTCGCTATTGTATATACTAGCTAAATAACACATGCATTGCTGCGGATGAAAAAAAAAGATTATCCCAAGCTTTCATGTATATGTCTAACAGATTTTCTCTATGCAGCTTGGATGGCTGCAAAAGTCCGAGTGAAGACTATCCTGATTGAGGAGCATTCTACCTGCAATTTTTGCTGGTTTCTTTCTAGGGCACAGGTTGATCAAATTTCAAGATATAGCGTCTGTATAGCCCTTTAAAGTTTTGTGTATACCCATGAAGTACGGAGAAATGCGATTTTGACATCAGATTGTTAAATAGATGTAACTGAGGGCCAACATTCATTATTAACTACTCCCTCCGTTCCAAAATAGATGACTCAGCTTTGTACTAACTTAGTATAAAATTGAGTCATCTATTTTGGAACGGAGGGAGTAGGAACCATGCAGCAATGTTAGATATTGTTAATATGTGTGTGTTTATTCTAAAGATTGTACCTACTGTATCAAATGTTCCAGGTCCAGCTACTTCAAGGCACATTTATGGTTCAAGTGACTTGGGTTTTTTGGGGGCAACTATGGTAGCCAAAAGCGGCCTGAACCATTTGAATTATAATTGCAAGAAATCAGGCAAAAGCTGCCCATGCAAAAAAAAGCAAACAGGTTACCTTTTTGTGCACAGGTTGTAATAGGTCATATTCCTTGACCAAAATTTACGCGGCAACGCAACTTACATGTATGATTGGCTACTGTGTTCATCTCGTTGCATCGCTTCAGTTCCCAGTTAAAAGACAGTACCACATTTAAGACATAGTTTTACTTTCATCATCTTCAATATATTTTTCCCGTATGAAGAATGTGCAGCTCCTACTGGTTTGATGTAGGAACCACAATGTCGATTAATCCGGAAACAGTAAACTATTGTCCATTTTTAAATAACATTCCCAAATATTGTCCAAGAGATCAGCTGTTATTGTAGAAACCCTGGTTGTTAATGCAGGTGATGGGCCAGAGTGACATCCAACTCAGGTAAATATTTATGTTCTGACTCTTCCTGCTCTTATAATTGGGAAACACCGAAACAATGTAAGCATGCTTAGAATAAGACAGTTCTTCGGACAAGGAATTTTGCAACTTTTATTGAGGTACGCGCTAAAAACTGCATTTTAGTGAACGGTGATCTAACCAGCATCGGCTGTGCTACATATCTGTTCATGTGGAACAGTGAACCATGTGATGGCATTCCAATTTTTTTGGAGTATTACCTGTTGTTTATCAGATGTTGTCAATTCAGAGGCTCAGCAATTAATCTGAAGACCTGTACCCGCACCTGCGTCGCTCTCCAGGGGGCGGTGTAACACCCCGGATATGATTTACCCAATATGTACTCCAACTCTTGCCGTTTCCGGCCTTAAGTTATTTTATTTTTTCGGGGTCGGGTTTTTGTCTCCGTGTGTTGTTATCGTTGTCATGCATCTCATATCATGTCATCATGTGCATTGTATTTGCATACGTGTTCGTCTCATGCATTCGAGCATTTTCCCCGTTGTCCGTTTTGCATTCCGGCACTTCGTTCTCTTCCGGTGGTCATTTCTACCTTTCTTTCGTGTGTGGGGATTAAACATTTTTGGATTGGACCGAGACTTGCCAAGCGGCCTTGGTTTACTACCGGTAGACCGTCTGTCAAGTTTCGTACCATTTGGACTTCGTTTGATGCTCCAACGGTTAACCGAGGGACCGAAAAGGCCTCGTGTGTGTTGCAGCCCAACACCCCTCCAATTTGGCCAAAAACCCACCAAAAGCCTCTCCATCATCTAGAGCGTTCGATCACGATCGCGTGGCCGAAAACCGCACCTCATTTCGACACTCCTAGCTCCCTCTACCTCTATAAATAGACCCTCATTTCCAATTCCCGGATCTTCTCCCCCCTAACCCTAAAAATCCACCCGCGCCGCGCCGGACACGTCCGATCCCGGCCGGACGCATCGCCGCGGCCAACGCCTGCCGCCACGTGGCCCGGCCACCTCCCACCGCCGCCGGCCCGCTCGGGCCCGAG